AACTGGAGCCGCTATTTTGGTGATTTTTCGTGCATTGTGTTTTCGCCTGCGTAAAGTGCAAACTCCTTATGCCGGTCCCATGCTATGCGGCGCTAATGACAGTCCAATTTGCCCGACCTGATGGTGTGCTGCTCGTGTTCTCATTGATGGAATCCGTCATTACATACAATTGGCTGTGCTGTCTTCGTGCGCTCATCAGATAACCTTAGGCTGGGACTTCTTGGCAGCTGCGTCTGCTGTAACTTCGTGTGGTCGGCCCTCCATTCGTATTACGGACACTGAGCTTTCTTCTGCTGCCGACGTTTCGTCGCCCAACCTTGTGACAGCTGCGAATTTCCTCCTGGCTCCAGGGCAAAAATGTGTCCTTACGATCAAGTCACGAAAAAGTATGGATGGTGACGCTGTGGTTGTTCCTTGCCAGCGCTGCATTTTTCAAGAGATCACCATCGCATGTTGTTTAGTGCGGCTCTCCCGTGATTATGCAAGCATCACCGCCTGCAACACGATGGCAAAACCACTACTTCTGCCAGAGGGGACCACTGTTGCCAGCATTACCGAAGAAGCACCGGTTTGTGTCGTCACTGGTTCATCTGCTTCGTCATTCTCAAAGTTAAGCCAGCGAAAGATTCATCTCCTGCTCTCAAGGCCTCTCTGTGTGCACATCTCAACGCAACGCAAACTGATGCCTTGCTAGCATTAATATTGAAGCACAAAACTTGGTTTGATGTTTGTTCCGTAGGTCTGTGTGAAACAACAGTGGCCGTTCATCGTATCGACACCGACGGATCTCGTGTCATGCACCGCCGCCCTTACCGTGTGTCGGCTTCTGAACACAAGCTTACAGAAGAACGTCAACGACACGCACGCGCGCAACGTCATCAAGCATTCGACGAGCGCATGGTCTTCTCCGGTCGTACTAGTAAAAAAAAGGATGGCTCGTTATGGTTTTGCATTGATTACACATCACTCAACAAAATTACTCGTAAGGACCTCTACCCAATGCCTCGCATTGACGACGCTCTTGATACTCTACAAAGTGCCGAGTACTTCTCAAATCTCGACTTGCGCTCTGATTATTGCCATATTCCGATGCACGAGCCTGATAAAGAGAAGACTGCGTTTGCTACGCCAGATGGGCTCTTTGAATTCAATGGGATGCCTTTTGGCCTATGCGATGCCCCAGCCACATTCGAACCCTTGATAGACATGGTACTGCGGGGATTAAAATGGAAGACGTGCCTTTGCAACCTAGACAATATTCTCATCTTTTCGTCCAGCTTGTCACAGCACTTGAAACGGCTACACTAGGTAATCATGTATTTAGCTAAAGCCGGTCTCTAGCTCAACACTAATAAGCGTCGGTTTGCCAAGCACAGCATCAAGGTATTCGGTTACGTCGTCGGGAAACAAGGCGTTGAGCCCAATTCCGACAAAGTTGCTGCAGCTCTGCACTTTCCTACACAAACCACGCCCAAAGAGCGCCGCAGCTTCCGTGGCTTGGCGTTATATTTCGGCCGCTTTGTACGTAATTTCGCTATTATGGCGGCTCCTCTGCACAAATTTCTGACCAAGTGCGCACCCTTTGTCTCGTCGGATGACGGCGAAGCCGCTTTTCACAACTTCAAGCGATGCCTCACATCACGGAAAGTGCTTCGCCATTTCGACGCTGGAGCCCCTACTATGCTACACACTGACGCAAGTGGACTTGGCATCGGGTTGTCCTCCTTCAGCGGAACCACGCTCTCGAAGAACAAGTCGTGGCCTACGCGAGCCCTACTTTTTGACCTGCTGAGCGAATTTACAGCATCACTGAGCAAGAATGTCTCGCCATCGTGTGGTCCATACAAAAGTTTCGCCCTTACTTATACGGCCAGCATTTCACAATAGGGACTGACCATCATGCTCTCTGTTGATTATTGTCTCTCAAAAATTTGTCGGGACGCCTTGGACGTTGGGTACTACGATTGCAAGAGTATGACTACAGCGTCACATATACGTCGGGTCGACAACACCAAGATATAGACGCTTTGTCGCGTTGCCCGCTCTCGCAAAGCGCCGAAGTGTCACCATCCATCTTTTCATCACCACCCACCAAAGTGACCAAACAAACGGCTGCTTGTTCGAAAGAGTTCGGTGCCTTAGCGGACTTTCTTTCGTCCACAGATCTTGCCTCGCTCCAACATGCCGATGCCTACTGCCGCACAGTCATCGATCGGCTCACTGGCTTATCGCGTGCTCCCAACAGCCGCCAGGACGACAACTTGCCCATTTCAAGCTTCAAGAGGGAACATTATGTCAGCAAATTTACCACCCTCTCGGTAACCAATCGGTTCCCGTCATTCCTCGCTCCCTTCGTCTGGAAGTTTTACAAGCGATTCATGACGATGCGACAGCAGGCCACTTAGGGTTTCACAAGACTTACAACCGCCTCAAGAATCGCTGCTTTTGGCCTGGCCTCTCTACTTCTGTCACCAAGTACGCCGCTTTCTGCGCGTCATTCCAGCACTGAAAACGTACCACGCCTCCTACCGTGGGACCATTGCAACCACTGCCGTGCCCGTCCACTCCCTTTGAATTTGTGGGTATAGACTTATATGGACCGCTTCAGCTTATGCCAGCTGGTCAACGTTGGATTGTTACTACCATGGACCACCTCACTCGCTACGCAGAAACGGCAGCTCTTCCGTCTGGTGCTACCTCTGAAGTCGCCCATTTTTTCCTTCGCGCCATTATTTTACGACATGGCACACCGCGTCTGCTTCTTAGTGACCGTGGCAAGACACTTCTTTCACATGTCCTTGCTAAAGTCCTCAAGGCCTCTAACACCATTCGCAAGACCCCATCAGCGTATCATCCAAAAACTAATGGTCTCACTGAGCGTTTTCACCGAACTTTGTCCAACATGATCTTATGTACGTGTAACCGGATCACCAAAACTGGGACACTATACTTCCTTTCGTCACGTTCAGATATAATACTACCATACAGCGTACGAAAAATTTTGACTTTTTTTCTCGTGTATAACCGTGTACCAACTTTTATTCTAGACACCATCTTTCTGTCCACATCTTTCGTTCCGTCTTCATCTCTTCCGGAAGAGTTTGCCACTCGCGTCACCCGCTGTCACGAAATCGCCCGCGCCAACAATGCTACCATTCAGGACAAGAGAAAAATCGACATTTATGCAAAGCGTCAAGTTGTTGTGTTGCGCCCAGGCGACGAAGTCCTTTTGTGGACGCCTGTTTGTGCACCTGGGCTCTGCAGAAAATTCCTTCACCAATACCTCGGTCCATACACCGTCCTGGAATGAACATCGGAAGTCAACTATCGCGTTGCTCCTGTCAAGGCGGCTCCTGATCGTCGTCGCCGCCACACCGAGATCTCCCACATCTCTCGACTGAAACAATATACATGGTGGCCCAACCCTTTCTAACTTGCTGCCCTCTTTCGCGAAGGAGGAAAAATAGTGTGAGCGATGACTATGTACTTCATCTGCATCTGTATGACAAATATATATATATATATATATATATATATATATTTATATATATATATAGATATATTCCTGATGAAGGCCAGACTCTAGGCCGAAACGTCGAAATAAACCACGTTGTGACCGCTCACGGAGGATCTACTAGACTATATATATATATATATATATATATATATATATCATTATATATATATATAAGAAATTGAAGGGAAGGCACGACAGGTCCGGGTATTTTCTATATTGAATGAACTTGCAGATAGCACATTTGAAAAGGAAAGTGTATTTACTAACGTTTCGGCCGTGGCACGGCCTTCGTCAGAGCAAGTCTCTGACGAAGGCCGTGCTACGGCCGAAACGTTAGTAAATACAATTTCCTTTTCAAATGCGCTACATGCAAGTTCATTGAATGTATATATATATATATATATATATATATATGTATATATATTATATCTAACCGACAATAATGCCAAGGAATGTATAGAAGAAGTTATTTGAACCAATGCAATGTAATAAAAATAAAACAAATTGGGTGAAAAAATAACTTGCCATGAGCAGCGTAGCAATGCGTAGAACGGCGTAGCAATGATATCTATTAGTTTTACGAACATTACATTCAACGAATTGGTCAAGCTTACACTGAGCTACGCAGGGCTTTACACACCAGAACTGCATGATTCTGAAGACCAATGCGGTTTTTTCTAGGTTGCTTCTTTGTTAATACTAGGCTTTATCTGAATGAGTCTAGTTTGTCACTACATTGATTATCAGAGCACAGAAGTCCAAGGTAAGTCAGAGACAATAATACTCAAGGTAGAATTCCACAGCCATAAGCTCGCGATGAAGCCAAGCATTTGCAGCTGTCATAAATATTTTGTTAGGTCATCGTTGGCGTTATGTGTTTGATCGCTTCGGTGTGCAGCCACTGTTGCTCTTCCAGTTTCTCAACGCTGAGCAAGCTGTTGCCTTGTTGCTTTTGAATATACCAGTGGTTGGTAAAGAAATTCACCCGATTTGTGTGGCACATACCAATTCATGACGATAATCGTTGTCAGACAGGCCGTACAGAAAGCTGTGGCATTGAGCCGTTTTGCGGGCTAACTGTAGCCTTTTTGAGTTTTAGTAGGCCTGAGGTCAGTTGTAAGGTTTGTGCAGTTTCTGGGGTAAATACCTGAAAAGGCCGCACAAGATAGACTAAACAGACTAAGCTCCACAATATCGGCTGCCTTAAGCATCATTTTAGCTGGTAACAACTTTACTTTTGGTAATATATTAATTACCAGGAGCTTTATTACATATAGCTTGGATGTTAAAATTTTATGTCTTTGAGCATTGGAAGCTAGTGTCATGAAAAGCCTGAAAAAAGCAACATACAGTTGTTTTGTCATTTTGCTTTGCTATACTCTAGCGGACGTGGTTTGTAAATCTGTGTTGATGTTTGTTTATTACGTATCCAATACCCTAGAGTGCATTGGCTGCGCCATATGCCAGTGTAGTAATTACTAACCTTATATATTTGGAGATGACAGCAAGACTACAGCTGGAAAACTCCTCAATGTGCCTTCCGTTAGATCTTGGACTCATCAGATAGCCATCTGCAGCTGGACACTTTGTTGAGGTGCCTTCGCCGTCGTGATAGGAGCCGAACCTGTGATCGTAGTCAAAACGGGGATGAAACCAAATTCAGTTATGATCAGAGAGTAACACTAAAAATGCTGTCGTGCTTATTTATTAACACTACTTTAAACTGATACCTCGTATACGCGTCAATAATAAAATGCCATAGCAACTAATGCTTCTCAAATTGAGGAAACATGTGAATTTGAAATGTTCTCTTCAAATCTACATTGGTCTTTTTTTCTTCGCTTTCCAGATTTTGTGCCCATCCTTGTAGCCGAATTCTTCACAACAGGTTGTTTAGAGATAGCTGCGCTGGTATAGTAGTTCTCGCTTTCCAGCCCTAAATTTGATCTAGTGTTATGCTAACTGGCGTCTAGTACTGGATAGTAATTGCTATCTAGCACTGGAGACAGTTGGCAAGCAGTGCTGTCTTGCGCTGGCCTCTCTTATCTACCTTTGCGAAGAGAACATGAAGCGCACAAAAATTTGAACGAAAAAAAAAACACAGATGTACAAACTCAGCGGCAACTGTGCGCAATTTTATGTAAACCTTCTTTCACCCATGTTTTTTTTATACACTTTTAGTTCAGCCTTGATTTAATTACCGATGCGCCGAGAATGCCGCAGTGGCGAACATTATTTCGACCACTAGTTTATATCTTCTATTCACGTGCCAGACTGCGTCACACTAGTTAAAGCAAAAGTGCTACCACGTTTGTTTTCCTCTTTCAGAAGCACATAGTAAATAATAATTAAGTACTGCTCTGGTTTAAGAACTTCTAACTGAGGGTCGCCCAACTCAATAGAAATACGCTAGCAAATTCTGCATCGGATATGCTCGTTAAGGCACCGGAAGGTGCATCTGTCTGTGCGACGAAATGAGTATCAGCGCCGGGGCACAGGCCCTGACGTTAAGTCGGAACATAATCTCGCCACCCTACACGTGCCGCATGTTTGCCTAGTGTAGTGAGGCTAGTTTTAAAATAAGTGTGATAAAACCAGAAGTGTGTTCAGTATGATCGACTGAGAAAGAGCAGTCTGATACACAAAACTTACAAGTGGTTAAAACAGAATCAGTGCTAGTTGTAACTTTCTAAACAAATGTTAGCTATATTGGAGACTGCGCGACCCCTACCCACACACAATGAAGCCAGAGGTTGACCTTTTCTGTTTTATAGACAATAGTCCTTCTTGCGGACCTTTGACGAAAAAAATTTGGTCTGTATGTCTGTGTGTTTGTCTGTTTGTCCACTCCTAATGATATTTTAAGCGACACCAATGTGACCAAACGATAATCGAAACGGCCGACCCCATTCGCAGCGCTTAGCAATATTGCCGAAGGTTCAGCGTTCATACTTGTGCAATTGGGAATTAAAAAGCAATAATGGCGCTTACATCGGGCTCCATAACAACACGTCAATACTATGCATGTGTAATTTTTACTAGCAACGACATACATAAGTAATTCCAAGGACCGTAGCGTTTATCACGCTGCGCTAACCATGCAATGCTGGCAAAAGAAGGCCAGTGTTTCCAACGCTTTGCTAAGGCGATACGGTAGTGGTACCTACCCGTCGCCTTGCGTTCTACACCTTATCACCTTAGAGACGGGTGCGCACGCCACGCGCCCCGTTTTTCAAGATAACTGCCAGATAGCGCTCATGTCTCTCGTGTGACGTGACTTGATGCACCCGTTCGCCTCCGCTGCACGTTCGAGGCACTCAACGCAGCGCCTCCAAAATACCATTCACCAATTTTCTTGCGCAGAACATGAAACAAACCTTTTGATTTCTCTGTCTAGACGCAAGACTACCCTTTTTTGATGACGATTGCAGTGTAGCATGCAGATACGGGGCCAATAGTTTTTTATATCGCTGCACGCGGCCATTTTCTGCGTTTAGAAATGAGCGTTCAGGCTTGTTTCTTTTTTTGTTTTGTTCGGGCAGGTTGGTTATTGTAAGTGCAGCTAATATGCCGGTGCCCACATACACCATGATAGCTTGAAACGACGTCACCACGTTTACCTGCGGCGGCAGTACAAATGTGTTTTCGCCATGCCGCTAGTTTCAACTTTAGTAATGTGCACCCAACAAGTTAAAACTGCGTTAGATTCAGAAAAAAAAAGAATGTGTGTTCTGTAGACAAGTATTTACCATGGAGAAATGTCCTTGAAGCAATCGTGTAACATCATACCTCATACGATGGAATTTCTACAGCATAATCATTCAATAACTTACGAATGCCCCATTTCATGGGCGGTTGAATGTATTCCAGTGTACCTTCCAGCCAAGTCTTTCACAACAGCTACACTGTATTGACTGCAAATGCCTTCCAATGGAGCAATCCCTGCGCAGATAATATGCAGTATCAGTACATTTTCTCACTGCCACCAAAGAACGGACAAGGCGGCTAGTTATGGAAATGAGGTAGCATGCATACATTCTCAAAGTGTAAGCATTCTTGCATATCACATCACACGCCTTACTTTTGTTCTCAACGCTTTTTTAACTTCTTTGCAAAGCTGCGTGGTTTAGCTACTGCAGGAAACTTGCCTAACTAGCGGCGGGCTAGTGTGAAGCTAATCCTGACTACAACATTGCTTATTAGAGGCAAGATATCAAGATTTTTTTCACTAGAAAGTAATGATTTATTACAGCGTGAAGTATAAGGGGAACTGGTCTACATTTATGTCTTTGGTGAAATATGTAATGTTCGCACCACTTTTGGAAATGCTGACGTTAAATATTGCTGAAAAAAGTTGGAAGTTTATAAGACATTTTGTTGGCGTGTTTAAATAGCGCCACTGGGTCAGACATTTGGGAAAAGCAAGAATAACTTCAGCGAAGTGTGACTCATGTTTACACGTATGACACTTGCTAAAATATTCAGTATACTTTACGTTTTACTGAGCAAATCACCGAGATCAGCCGCATGCACTTTGGCATGTACCGCGACGATATAAAGATAAAGTGCACCGCAGTAAAAACTTTTCTGTTTTTAAACAAAAAACAGCAAACAACGGATATAAATCGTTATGAATGATAACGTTCCAAAGGTAACATACAATTATTTAGCAGTGGACAATTATTTTACTACATCTTGCATGTTATTACATCGGCTATGCATTTTTAAAGTTTTGAACTTCAAGCCTTTTGTACCTGTGCCAGGATAGGTAAGCTGCTAAGCTGCACAAAAACGTACTGGTACTTCTTTTATTCAATTATCAACTGTGACAGATAAGGACTGCATGTTAATTACCCAAAGAAGCGAGAAATTGTTACCTAAATATTTATATAGGAATTCCACGTTTGGACACCGAGGGAACTTCTTACGGATGAAACTGTCTTGAATAAATGATGAGTTTACTAATTTGAATCATCTTGCTCATGTCGCACAGCACTATCATTGTGCGATATTTTAAGTATGATTCCATCAGTGCTAGCTACAATGTAGGCTTCGTTTTTTTTTGCAACAAATGCTAAAATTTTTTTCAAAGCGCCAACTGTACGTGCAAGCATACTTTGAAGGTGCTCAATATAAACATCCAAGAACATCAATCCATAAAAACATGCTCCAAGTGTTTTAAAGATATTAGGAATTTTCATGACATTTCGTCCTAAGGTGATACTAGCACTGACAGAAACAGCTTGATTTCTTGCTCTGGAAAATGAAGCCTTGGTTTTAATAAAGTCAATAAGAAGAGACTTTTCAAGAAACTTTTCAAGAGACCAAGAATTTCACCTATTTAGGACGATATTGGCCTGACACCATAAGAGATCTGCATTGGAACCCCGTGGTAATAAGCTATTTTTGTCTGAATACATAATGTATTGGACACTAGTGTCGATTTTCATCAGATATTTGATATAAATAATGAACTGCAACGGGCCCAGCTGGCTATTCAGATAAACACCATGTTCAACTTTACGAACCGTAGCTTCAAGTTGTCACAATCACGATCACATCTCCACGACAAATCACCCAAGCGGCACACCTAAAACGCTGGATTCACACGAACACGCTGCATGAAGCCAGTGAAACAAAGCCAGTGAAGCCGTTTTCTAGACAGCCAGGCGTCGCCACCAGCTATATAGGCACATGATAACACTAAAATTGTCGACGTCAACGCTGTACGCTCATCGTCCCTTGTTTCTTAAGGCATGACTTAGGAGTTGGCTGATCACGTCAAAATACAATGTCTCATGGGCGCGAACGCGCTGATGAGCCTTGGATGCTCTTGGCGCTCCAAATAAAATGACTACTACGTAACGAATGCGATGTATATCTCGCTAAAAAAACTCGCGCGTACAAAGCGACCGAATAAACGCCGCATCTCTAGTTTTAAATGTGCTGTCGCTGCTTCCTTAAGATGTGGTGTAATTACCTCGGCTTTGCTACAAACTGGCGTATTTGACATGGTCGTAGCATATCCTGGCCGAACTAGCCAAGTATACTGCCCAGCCAAATGGCTAATTAGCCGGGCGCATGTGCTTGGGTGCAGCAGACGATGAAGACGACGAAAAAACCGGACACCAGCGAGCAGCACACCAGACTGTGTGGTAGATGATTACCACGTGTTCTCGGGTTTGACTGTGGTCGTGATGTCATGTGCTCGTACGGATGTAATCTAGGAGGCCACCATGCTGATTATTCTAAAACAGACTTAGTGCAAGCATTGAGAGTTTCAAAATAAGTTTAAACACCCCGTGTCACTAAAAAACACCATCACGAAGAGCTTCTGACACTTCTATTACATGGGTGCATTTCTGCACTCAGTAGAACAAAAACAAACAAAAGTAGATGCGCCTGGTATAAAAACACTGCCCAACTTATTCGACCGTTCCCTACGCGATGACTGGTGTTGTAACGAATGAAACTCAGCGTGATGAGGGTTAGATTTGACTTTTTCGTACTGTTGAATCATCTAAAAGGGGGTGTCAGCAGAGCTCGGGAATATCCCGAGTTTTACGAAACTTAGCCGATTCTGCATGGCACCCAAGATCACGAGTTACGCCAAGCTCGGGCGATCCTTCACAGTACCCTAGCTCACTCTAACGTAGAGACGCAGACAAGGTGGTTATGATGCAGCGTGTCTCATTTTGCGCAGGCTCCGGTCAGGCGCGCTGAAGAGGGATAGCTATGTCCCAAGAAAGTGTCGCATAGGTGCTTGGTTTACTTACGGATGTTGTGATGCGTGATCCAATGTACAAGAGCCTAGAGAGGTGGTCATAACATGAAACGTACGTGAAGCCAATGAAGTAACACATGTCAGCGCTTGACCGGAATCGAGATGTGTCTCTCAATAGGAAGAGTACAGTTCGGCTTTGCACCCTTCTCTTTATAACTACGGAAAGCTGTCCGCGAGTATAATTGTTGCACTTTGAATTGCAGCACGCCGCTCAAACACAAAGAAGAGCGCATAAAAAGGTATGCACAGTACGAGTGTAAGCTAACAACTGTCACAGTTGTTGCTTATTTGTGTTTGAGAAGGGTGCAGCAAGTGTCTTCTGTTCACAGTTAACAGCCCCTACTTCGGCTCTGGGCGCTCAAAGCTCACTCATTTCCCAAACGCAGCCGCGAGGAAAGTGTAATTTGTGCGCTGTGTATTTCAATGCAATATTATTGCTAAAATACCGGGCCCGGTATTGATAATTTCCGCCCCTCTCTCATGAAACTCATAGCAAGTTTAATATCTGAAACATTTTGTCACATAGTAAACCTTATTTTTACCACGGGAATTTTTCCAAGCTCCTTGAAGAAAGCCAAAATAATTCCTGTTTTCAAGAAGGGAGATAAGCGTCTCACATCTAATTATCGACCTATAGCTATACTCTCATTCTTTAGCAAAGTTGTTGAAAAACTAATAGTAACACGCTTGTCTTCCTATTTTTCAAAACTTTATGTCTTATCAACAAATCAATTTGGATTTAGGGAGGGATACTCAACTGATTTAGCATTAATTTACTTGACAGATAAAATCCGGCAGGCAATTGATGCAGGTAATTTGACGGGGGCGCTCTTTATTGATATCTCTAAAGCATTCGATTCACTTGTTCACAATATACTATTTGCTAAATTAGAGTCTATTGGAATAGCAGGCCCGCCACTGAAATTACTACGTAACTACTTAAAAGATAGAGAATATATTGTGTCTATATCTAACACTTACTCATACCCTAAAACAAGTAACATTGGGGTACCGCAGGGATCAATATTAGGACCTCTCTTATTTTTAATATACATCAATGATCTTTCACAATGCCTAAAATCATCTGACTGTATTCTTTACGCTGACGACACTACTATTTTCTGCTCAGATAACCACCTTGATTCATTAATCTACAAGCTTAACCACGACGCGGACAGCATAGTTACCTGGTGCCGGCAAAATAAACTACAGATAAATGCTACAAAATCTCAGTTCGTCATCTTTTCTTCTAAGCATAGGATTTATTCAGGTTCACCATCTTTAACTTTCGCTTCAAACACACTTTATCCTACTGACAGTGTCATGTTTCTCGGAGTCACATTAGATAAGCACCTAAAATTTGATGAGCATGTTTCATCGTTAACAAAGAAGACAGCTTATGGCATTAGGATATTAATTGAAGTTCGCAATTTTTTCCATATGAACACACTAATATCCCTTTATTACGCTTTCATTCATACGTATATTAATTATTGCATATCATTATGGGGAAACACGTATCCAGTCCATTTATCTCCATTGCAACACACTCAAAATCAGGCTATTCGCATCATGACACATAGCACCTACACATAAGAAGCATTGCCTTTGCTCACCTCTAACGGTATTCTGTCGGTGGGAAAACTACATAAATATTCCCTCGCAATACTAATCCCCAAATCCATCAGCGGAAAGCTCCCGTTCGCTATAATCATCAAAAGCCAGTATCCTTACTCTTTGTCAACACGTTTCGCATCCAGCAATAGCTTCTTATTACCGAAACCCAGAACTAATTATGGTAAGTTCACTACTAACTTTTCAGCCACACAACTATGGAACTCATTACCATGCCATGTTAAAAATATCTCCAATTTCCACGCATTCAAAATCAACCTTCGGAATTATCTGCATTCAGCATAGTCATTTCATCATTTCATCATCTCTGCTTTCTTTTGTAATTTTTAAATAATCCAACGATGTTTCAGTGTTAATTTCTTCTTTTTGAGTGTTTACTTTGTGTACACATCTTTGTTGCGTTAAAGTACTTTTGTTTACTCAGCTCTTATGGGAGGTCCCCTGTACAGTCTCTTGACTTTGGGACCTCCCTCTGTATCAGTAGTAAACCCCATTGTAACCACCATTTGTAACCAATCAATTT